CGTTTAAATATTATTCTGAGACTTTGTAATTCGTTACATTTTAGAATGTTGGAATATTTATATTTCCAATATTTCCGCGAGTCAATTATTTTATTGGTGTATGAATAAATTTAACTTTTTTGATCACTTGATCAGTTTTTCCGATTTTATTTGCGTAACTTCGTAAATCATTTCCGATTTATATATCAGTTTTCCGTGATTTATAATTTACTATTTTACAATATGAAGCCATGAATCCCAAAAATAAAAATCAAAAAACACAGTCATTGTTAAAACAAAAGGATATGTTACTGTGCTATCAAATGGCTGCACTGCGTAATAAGCAGGTAAGTGGTACCAAAACATCCATTGGATTGTTTCTTGCAGAGTCAGGCACTTCTACTAGTGATATAAACACCCTTGCAAACATTGGAATAAGTGTCACATATCAAACAGTATATAATAAGTTGTAAAAGTTTGTTGAAACACATGAAGAGACAGTACGAGTATATGTTAAGAAATCAGTATGTTTGATTAAAAAATTTTTGCATTGTTTAAATTTGTAAATTAAACAAAATACTAATATCATTTTAGTCCAAAAATCTTTTAATAGGTTATATTGATGATTATCACAACTTGCATAGTACTCAAATTCCAAATGTAACATCTACTTCCCAAATTGCTCATATGGCAACTATTTTGTTCAATACAGTTTCTATACCACCCATTCCATATTACAATGAAAATAATGACCCAATACATAATCCAAAAGGAGTTGATGCTTCAATTATCAAAAATGCTCTTCATGATGAGTATGTGATTTTATTAGCAAAAAGTTATAATTTGGAAAAAAGCTAGTTGGAAAGAAATTTCTGACCTGATAAAATTTGATGAGCCTGAACTTATACAATCATTGGTAGTTCATTCATATGACATTGATATTTATGAAAAATATGGACGTAAGTTTACTCAAACTAAACTTGTTGATTTTGTTGAACTTGACTTAAAAAACACAAAAAATTATCTTCAAGCTGTTGATTCATTTATAAGGTAATTGTTATTATATAATTGTTTTGTAATAAAATGATATTAATAATGAGTTTTATTAAGATTACCTGAAGTGAAAAATTACTTGAGTGATAATATGCTATTCATCCCTGCTGATTATCCTGGACAGCTCTACTTAAGGAGAGCAGTTGTAAAAAGACTTAATTCAATGACAATACCAGCATTCCAAAGGAAATTCTTCATATACTGTCATTTTTAGGCCCATTGCACCTTTCATTTAATACATGTGAATCAGTCTTTTTGACATTTTGGGGCTTTTTTGATTCAATGCATAGAACAGTATTTGGGAAGAAAAAAAAGCTAGCTGCAAAACCAAAGCCATGGATAGTGAACCTTTTGTTATATCTTGCACATGGAGGATGGCAAATTGTTAATATTCTTAGATCTGTTAGACAATTTGGTCCCTGTAACTCTTGATGTCTATACAACCTTATTCCAAGGGAATCATCTTGATGAATATATCAGTGCAGTATTTCGTCTTTGGTGTATTATGAACCATTTCCAGAGACACAATTATGATAAAATTATCCTTGCATTTTTGTCAGACATCCAATACTGGAAACATATCAAACATCCTATAATGGATACATTGAAAAATAATTTAAATAAGTTGGATGAATATTGTGTAGAAAATTTCCATAGTTTGGTTTGAAGACACACAAATGCAAAAGTGAACACAGCCAAGTCTCTCAGGTGTGATGCATTATTTATTGACCATTGCAAATCTGAAAATAACTTCATGTCATCATTTGCACCAAAAAAAGATTATCCTTATTAAAAAAAAGATCTTGATGAATTAATTAAAAAAACTGCATTATTTCTTTTGGATTTTTTTGATGAGATTTCAAAAAATGATGGTAGAGTAGAAAAGAAAATGGAAGGCAAAAAAATCAAAAAACCTTGTTATTATATTTTGCCAATTAAATCTGGTTTCCATGCTGATGTTTTGCCACTTGGGTACCATGCAAAAACATCACCAATTATTGAAAAGTTATGTGATTATGATAATTGTAAAATATCAAGTACAGATTTTCAAGTATTAATATGTGGTCTTTCTTACCATGAAGAATGTTTTTGGGTGTTAAGACTTCAATGCAATTACTGTTATTCCTATCTTTCAGGTGCCATTGATGATCTGACAAAATCTTATAATGAAAGACTAAACATGGATGAAGATATTAATAATGAGCCAGATTTGGAAATTAATTTGCAATCAGAAGATAGTGATATGGATGCTGCTAACATTTTAAATATAGATGGAGAGATTGATAGAAGCTTAAAAGAAAAAATATCAGGTAATTATAAAATTTATTAATGATTGGATAATTCAAAAAATTAATAATTTTAATAATTTTAAAAAATGCTTAGCTTTTGTAGAGAAATAAATTGCCAACTGAAACTACTGATTATCAGATGGATCAGATGGAGATACATTTCATAATATTATTAATTTATTTTAACATAATATATATATGGTGCGTATCACCTATACTCATCAAAAAATGCCGATCAGTCCGAATTTTTGAATGTACAGTCCCCCAAAAAAGTAATGGCGGGGTGCATTTTATGCTGTGTAATCCTTTTTATGGTGCGATTAGTTGCTGTTTGGATATATTAGGTTACTACCGGTATACTTTGAGACTTGTACTACACTTTTTGTTTACTTCGAATCTGAATACTTTGATTAGTAAAGCATATTACTTTGACAAATGGAAAATTTTTCTTTAAAAGAGAACCGCGAAGTGGTTAAGAACTTGTGGCGACAAGGCTACAGAAGTCCAACACAAATCTCTCAAAAGACTAGTGTTCCTGTGAACGATACGTAGCTCACCTTCGCAAAAATGGCAAAATTCCAAAATTCATTGTTCTGGACGCCCACGCAAAGTTTCACCAAAAATGCATCACCAGATCGGCAAAATCGTAAATTCGAATCACTTCGTTACAGCAGGTGAAATCAAGGCTCGACTTGAGGAAACCCACACAAATTTTGAGGCAACTGAACAAACTATTCGTAATGAACTTTCTAGACTTGGTTATGTTGCTACTTTACCAAGACGTGTCCCTCTTCTCACCGAACAAGCCAAACAAAACCGGTTGGTGTGGGCTCAAAGCCATTCACGTTACAACTGGCGCAAGGTCGTATTTTCCGATGAAACAACTTTGCAGATGTTTCGAAACACTTGTTTGGCTTGGTCGCATTCTGACAAACCCATTCCACCAATGGTGAAACACCCATTTAAACTTCACATGTGGGGTGCAATTTGTGCACATGGAAAAGTTGGAATGTGTACGTTCGTGGAGAACATGGACCGACACCTCTATTGAAAAATTCTCAACGAGAATTTATATGACAATGCAAATAGCATTTATGGTGATCAATGCTGGGTTTTCCAGCAAGATAACGATCCCAAACATACTTCGAAGGATGTTCGTGCAGATCTTGAATTGCATCTGCCAAAGCGGGTTTTGCCTTGGCCATCATATAGCCCAGATCTCAACCCGATCGAAAATATCTGGGCAATTCTCAAGCACAATGTAGAGAAGAGGGTCAAGGCAATGGTGGCGCAAAAACAGAATGTGTCACAGGAGGCATTTATTGCGTTAGCAAGGGAGGAGTGGAATAATATACCCGATGATGTAGTTCTTAGATGTGTTACTAGTATGTTAAATCGCATTCAGGCCTGCATTGACGCAGAAGGATGACATACTAAGTACTGATTTTTTATAGGTATATTCTCTACCTAAATGTGGTCTGGATATAAAAATTTGGAAATATGTTCTTATGTAGAAAATTTTTTTATAATAAAAAAAAACACCCCGCCATTACTTTTTTTGGGGGACCATATATGTATAATATATATTATTTTATAATCCAGTTTTGTTTTTCCTTGAGAATTGTCATCTTTGAAATAATATAAAAAAATAGTTGTTTTAATAATAGTTTATATATATGTGTGTATATATGTGTGTGTTATATATATTATTTCTTTACCTGTCTATATATTAGTTTATAATCTAGTTTTGTTTTTCTTTAAGGATAACCTTTCAAGATTAATGAATAATTTTTTTATTTTTTGTATAAAATTATGTTTATAAAATTGAAAAAATTCGGTACATATTGAAATCCTTCAAAATCAAT